AAAAAAAAAAAAAAAAAAAAAAAGAGAACAGTGACTTTCAAGTGCAAGCATTGATCTTATTTTACCCTTTTCCTTTTACTAATGAACAACCCCACAACAACAGAAATGCACGTTTATTGTACCTCGCTCATCGCTTTTCTACCACTCGCAGTTTCAGCATATGCTTAACGGCTATAGCTAGGCAGCCCTGGATTTCAATCTGAGGGCACATACAAGTGAGGGGAGTAATAAGCAATTTGCCAATTAGTATTACTAATTTACTCATTAATAATCATTCTCACCTCACAGTCCTGTGTGAGCGGTATGCGTGCGATGCCTCTGTGACTCCTCGCATCAAAGAGAGCTGTTGTCCCGTCCCCAGCCCCTACAAGACCCCAACAACATGAAAGACCATTCACATACGTAAATTACAGAAATTGTCAATTGATCTAATTGAGGCTTTTTTTTTACGATGACAAAGATCAGAAGGAATGTAAGAAGTTCATCTCTGAAATAGTATTTTGCATAACAATGATAACATACTATTTTTTTCAGATTTTTAAACAATTTTTTCGATATTTTTTATTTTTATTTTAATATACGTATTCCCATGTACGGGAGTACGTGTACGCGCACATGAATACGTGTACGCGTGTACGCGCAACCCTCGTAAACGAACGCCGTGCTACCCAGCATGAAACTTAAAAAAAAAAAAAAAAAGTGTCTCAATTAGTCATTAAACTGAGGTTATGTAACTTATGTAAGCCTCGTAGTTGATCGGGGGTGAGGGGGGTGGGGGAGGAGGGGAGTCAGACAGCACAAATCAGCACATCGAGTCGGATGAAACCACCAGGACGTTTCCCATCCATTTTTCTAGGACATGGCTGCATGCGCAGCGGGTCTGGGGGGATGAACCGGTGTCCCGGTTCACAATAGATACGTGTCCAGGGAAAAGGGGCCCCGCATGCGAATTGATTTGCCTGGATGTATCTTTAGCGAACCGGCATGCTGGTTCATCCTGCCAGATGTGGCGTGCATTCAGGTGCACCTTAGAAAAATGGAAACTAGGCTACCAGCCGGGCCAAAAAAAATTAAAACAAAAAATTAATTAAATTTATAAATTCCGGCGTGACCCTGCGGCAAAAGTTGATTTTTCTGCATACAAACAGTTCTCGTTCGTTTTTTTTTTTTTTTTTTTTTTTTTTGGGACCTTCCCTGGTCCTTGCACAGCCGGGCTGCCCAGGCAAACAACGTGACCCAGGTGGCCCGGCTGGTACCCCACCTGGGAAGCGTACTGGTGGTTTAAAATTTAAACTTTAAACTTTAAACTTTAAACTTTGAAGTTTAAAGTTTAAACACATAAAAAAAGAAGCCCGAGTCCTGATGAAACTCCCGAGAATAGAATGGAACCAGGAGCATGAGGTCCTGCTTTTTTTTCCCCTTAATAAAACCCTTAAAATTAGGAAAACTACGTCACCAAGGGCGCCTGGATGAGCACCCTTGCAGGTCTCATGGCGATCTGCCTGCCTGGGAACTTGGTAGGGATTTTCTACGCCCACCAAAAGCATCCCAAATCCGGGCTCTTTTTCAGTGTCGTCCATTTGGTGGGGGGAAGGAGGGGGGTTAGCAATGGCAGGTAAAGCCACTTAAAGGAGTTTTAACTTCAAAGGGGGGGTTGCCTTAGTTTGATTTTGTATTTTCTTTTTCATCTTCGGCTCAATAAGGGATTTTGAGGTAATCCTCCCCCAAAGGTTGTTTGCAGTGCAATTCTGGACAACACTTTTTTTTTTTTTGGGGGGGGGGGGCAACACTGTACTTTATTATAAGAGCACAAGGAGGCTGGGAATCCCTCCACATCTCAACCCGGAGTAATCTCTTTCCAGAAATTTTTGATTTTTCAAAAATTTTCCCTCTTTCTGCGCTGCGGCTGCCTGGGAGGCACAACACTCGTGCCTGCCTGTATGGAAAGCAGCCTTGGACCCTGGGTTGATTTTTTTTTGAAAAACTACAGTGCCCATCTCACACTAGCTGCCTCATCGGGGGACAAGCTGTATTTTACTACGTTATTTTCTTCTCTCAATACTGTGCCCATCTCACACTAACTGCCTGCCTACCCTACTTTATCCACTTACGTATCCAGCACGGAGGCTCTTTCATCCTTCCTCAATTACCTACCTATTGTACCCTAAGCCCAGGAGACAATCCCACTGGTTATGGGTCCATCGAGCGCTACCCACTTGCAGGAACAGTGGTCACACAACTACACTACCCCCTAAGTCTACCAGCTAAGTGTTATGGCACAGGGCGAAGGTTAAATTAATAAATGCACTAGCCAGAACAAAGCCGTCCTATGGTTATGGGTCTATGCCTACCTCTCTCTGCTCAGTGCGGGGAGCAGTACCCAAGCTCCTAACACCTGATGTGGGGAATCAAACTTAAAGTTCAATTCCCAAATATACTTCCCTAAACAGCAAGGAAGCCCAAGCCAACAATCTGGACCCGAAGCATACCCCCAGGAGGCCACGGGGATCGAAAGGACAATGTTGGGAATCGAACCCACGACCTCCTGAGTGCTACTTACGTGCTCAACCAACAGAGCTAGCCCGCTTGGGTCCTGGGTCATTTGCACAGCTTGGAGTACGTGCGTGTT